ATCCCTGAAATGTCATTCCCCGCCGCGTGGTTTTTATTGACAATAGTTAAATTGGGGCCTTGGTACAATAGCCTCTGATACTTTTTCTTTAAAGGCTTGTGCTGCAGAGAGCTCAGAGGCAGAGCAGTGGGTTTGTTTTTTAAACAAACTGGAAGCATTTTTGGGGGAAGCTTAAAAAACCGAGCAGAGCATTTCATTAGAATTCGAGTGGCCTGGAGGCGAGAACAAGGAAGGTCCTAGGAACTCTCAGGATGGCTGGAAGCTCAGGACAACACAGAATAAGACAAGATTTCAAGGATTCTTTTGGTTCCACTTTTCCCTCAAAATTTCCAAGAAGCAGCTAAGAGTTTAGCAAACACGGGTATAAATGGTTCTGCTCTGCAGCTTCCGTCCTCGGATGTTGTCGGGGAGCCAGGCTGAGCCACAAGATCCCAGGAGACTTGATTTGTCGTGACCAAAAGTGTAACAAGCTACCCCTTTTAGAAAGTGCAACTGAAATTCATCTCAGAGTACAGTACTCAAATAATGAGTGTTAGTTGAGGGGAAAAGAACAAAATTCTACTATATGTGATGTGAGGAAAGAGGACAGAACAATTGCACAAAATCAAAATGCACACAAGCATGGTATCAAAAGATGAGTCTAAACCAAAAGGTATAGGTATTATAAGTAAATCCAGGAATTAAGAGTTGACCAGAAACTAGCTTAGAGATCCTTTCAAAGTTGGATTGTTAAAGAATGTTATCTGCCCTGGCTGGTGTGGCTCAGCGGACTGAGCACCAGCCTGCAAACTGAGCGGTCACGGTTCAGTTCCCGATCAGGGAATTGCCTGGGTTGTGGACCGGATCCCCGGTTGGGGGGGTGTGAGAGGCAACCAATGTTTCTCTCCCTCTCTTTCTCCCTCCCTTCCCCTTTCTATGAAAATAAATAAAATCTTTAAGAAAAACAAACAAACAAACAAACAAAAAACCCCACATCGTAACAAAAGTTATCCCAGGGACTCCAAGGTAACCATGTGAAACCGATAACATAAGCAATGTTGGTCATATGTCAAAAGTCCTTCACTGGCTGGCTCCAGTGCTCATGCTTCCTTCTGGACATGCCCACAGCACAGCCACCATTACTCAGACGGTCATGGCAGTCACAGAGGCGGGTTCCATGTGGGGGCACAACTGCCAGGGCCTAGGAGGAACCCATCTTCTTTTCCATCAGACCTTCATTTAGCTGCATGAAGTGGCTATTCAGGCTCCACCAAACAGGGAGGCTTGACGGATTGGTGGTCCCTCAGCGGGGTTCGGGATTCACTGGAGTGTTTGGGACATGAGCCTCATATCAGCAGACAGGGTAGGGCCAGAGAAACTCAGAATAGGGCAGGAGTCTTAAAATTCCTTGAGGCCCCTGAGAAGAGACAAGGAAGGAGCTTCACATAGACCTGCCATTAAATAACAAGGACCCAGAGCAAGGATGGGGGAGAGGACGACAAGGTGGCAGAGACTCTAAAGGCTTCTCGAGAGAAAAATAGGTCCCTGTGATATTGTCAGATAATAGATATTTATTTGGTCATCCCTGGTCCTGGCACAGAACTCTTAAAAATCCTGGGATTTTCTGAGTGATGGGGTGAGAGAAGCATTTGGTGTTATTAACAAGCCCCTTTCAACTCTACCAGAGTTTATTCCCATGAGGTGACCCTTAGAGGATAGGGACTGGTTGCTAGGGGAACCTACCTTGTGATAAGAGGGCTGGAACTCTCAGCCCTGCCTCCGACCTTCTTGGAGGGAGAGGGGTTAAAGACTGAGCTAATTGACAATGACCAATGACATAATCAACCAGCCCATGTTGTGGAACCTCCATAAAAACCCCAAATGAAGGGGTCTGGAGAGCTTCTGTGTTGTTGACCATGTAGAGGTGCTGGAAAAGTGGCGTGCCTGGAGATTGCATGGAAACTCTGCTTCCTTCCCACACCTTCCCTGTGCTTCTCTAGCTGCTGTTCCCAAGTTCTATCCTTTATAATAGAGTAGTAAACATGAGTAAAGCATTTTCCTGTGTTCTGTGAGACCTTCTAGCACATTACGGAACCTGGGGAGGAGGTCATGGGAACCCTGATTTTTTAAAAGATGTTATTTATATTTAGAGGGAGAGGAAGGGAGGGATGAAAAGAGGGAGAGAAAGATTGATGTGTGTGAGAGAGAGAACTGTCGGTTGTCTCTCAACACCTCCCCAGCTGGGGACCTGGCCAGAAACCTAGGCACATGCCCTGGCTGAGAACTGAACCGGCAACCTTTAAGTTTACATACCAGCACTCAATCCACTGAGTCATACAAGCCAGGGCAGGAACCCTGATTTATAACTGGTCAGTCAGAAGCACAGGTGACAACCTGCACTTGTGACTAGAGTCTGTCTTGTTAATGCCAGGTAGTCACTGTCATAACTGTTTAATGTGAGGAAAAAACACTCACACATTTGGTGTCAAAAGTGTGTGAGTAGAAGAGTTTCTCTTTAGTCCCTTGCATAAGAGCAGGAGTCAGACTGTGTGAAGACTTCTCAGCAACAGAAAGTTCTGAAGAAAACTGCTTTGACAAAGATTTGTAGACCCAGGCAAACTGATAATTTCCATGCATGCAAGGAAAGACATGGACTTCTTGATATCCTTTCTTGAAAAGTTGTCTGGGGATACACTCCAGCAAAAAGAGAAAATAAACCAAAAAATACAGAGGTATGAGATCTGAGCAATTATGAATGCAATTGGAGGAAGAGCCAGTGGGGCTCGTGCGTGTGCAGCAGGTGCACACCCAGGGACCGAGGGTTTTGTGGGGACATGGGAGGGGAAGGGAACATTGTTGGAAAAGTATCCCATGGTGACACAGAGCAATAATACACTGTGTAAAAAGTCAAGAAAATTTTAGAGAGCAGGACATACCCCTAGAACACAGAGATAGAGGTATAAATAAAACACTGTCGGGACTGCAAAGAGCTCACAGGTGGACGAACAGACCAGTACGTTAACAACACTAAGAATGCTAATAAAAGTACAGAGCGTGAAGGAAGAGTAGGACAGGGGTCCATTACTCAACCTTGTGGCGGGGTTAGCAGTCCATGGGAAACTATAACATCCAACATCAAGTGAAATGTGTGGAAAGCCGCTATGGCATTGTGGGTAATCACTGGTATTGCAATTCAGAGACTCTGAAGTGGCTTATAGTCCAGTGAGATGTGGGACTCTTTAGAAAGACATCAGTGCAGAATGACTGCCCACTTGTCCCCGGCCATCTCAGCCAGACAACTTGCCCCTGAGAGATGGGAAACTGGTTCCTTTATACAGCTGAAGAAGGCTGATTTTACCCCCCAATATACTTGCAAGATAGAAAAAAAAAGTACATCTGCCAAAGCAAATCAGCACAGAATATATCTGCTTGACCCAGTGGCTCAAAACTGTTTCCTTTTGAATTGAATAGAGAATCCCCATTGAGATCAAAGGCATCCTGCTCATTTGAAAGCCAAGAGCCAGGTTTTATAAAGCTGTGCACTCTCTCTGCAAAAGAAGCCACTGGGGTTTTTCCACTGTTATAGACTCCCCTTTTAAAGGTCTATTAAAATCTCACATATTAACTTTGTCTTGACTTCATCTTTTGCTAAGTGACAGCTCAAACGTTTGGATGACTATTTAATCCTGTGGGGGATAAAGCAACACTGCGAGAACTTACGTAACAGAAAGAGGGCTGAGCTGAAAGGGCATACTGACATCCGATGGCACTCGGAGTCCCTCCAGGAAGCCTTGCAGTGACAACGGGTGTCCACTGTATGCTAGGAGATGACCTGAGTTATCCCAGGGAAGGAGACACCTAGTCTCACCCTCCTGGGGTGCAGCCCGTTTTTGGAAGGGCTGCAATTCTGCACTTTCTTCCATGTGTGAGGAAAGAGATTTAGAAATGAAGTTGAGTCGTTCAAGTGCCTACGGAGCACAATCACTGCCAGAACTAACACCCTCTAGAACCTGCTAGAAATTGACTGCCCACTCGCCCAGGTCATCTCACCCTAGGACTGTTTCCCATCCCTACTGTTCTCCCCTCCATTCTAGGCTTGGTTTGAGAATCTGAGTTAGGTTTTAGTCATGACTGCAGGCTCGGCTCATAAAGTGTATACTTGTGTGTTCCCTACTGCTAGCGTGCTCAGGACATTTGTGTCCTTCTCAGTGTAGGAACTGGGATGGGGGAGGTGGACTCAGCTCTGGCTGCCAGGGCAGGGGTTGTTGATGTTCTGGGCACGGACTGACTTCTCTGGGACTCTGCAAGCTGGCTGGGCAGGCTCTGCACAGTTGCCTGGTTCTCAGACAGTACTCAGCCTGATCAGATGTGGATGTCACCAAACCCCGTTGGTAATGTGCACACTTCACCTGCTGCGATTTCAAAGCTACCAACAAGCCTCTGGTGAACATTAGGAGGCGGGGGAGAGCCTCGCACCCGCTTGGCCTCCAGGATGATGAAGGCTCGGGAGCTCCGGATCCCAGAGGGGTTGCCTGCGAGCTAAGACGCGTTCGTGGAATCGGAGGCGCACAGAGTGGAAATGCTACTCCCTTCCTGCGGTGTGGCTGCTCCGGGGTCCGGGATAAAGGTGTTACTCAGGGCGGTCGGCGCCCATATTCCCGCTGTCCCCTGAGAGGGGGCTTTGCACCGCCCTGATCAGTTTGGGTCCCTGACTCGGGGTCTCGGCGGGCGGGGCTGGGGGAGCCGACGCGGGCTACAGAGAGCAAAGAGGAACCAGGTGCAAAGTCACCTGCGAGGACCCTCACCCCTCACCCCAGACCTCTCCCAGCCCTTGGGACCGAAGGAAGAGGGTGTTGCGCGGAGGCGTGCATGAGCAATGGTGTGGAGAGGGCGCGTATGGCTGGGGGCTCGGCTGTTTACCGAGGAGCGGCCAGGGGACCCGGCGGGACAGGGTCACTTGCGACAGTCGCGTGAGCGCGCGAAGGAGCGATACCGACGGGGCCCAGGCCCCGCGGACTCACAGTAAATGAAAGCGAGGGCCCTCAGGAGCACGATCCTGGTCAGCCAGAAGGTGCCCGCCCGGAGGCGGGCCTTGCAGCCCGCGGGCTTGTGCCCTGGCCCCGGCGGAGACCCAGGGTCCTGGCCAGTGCCTGCAGCTTTCCTCCTCCTAAGCTGCTCTTCGGGCGCCGCCATTGCCGGGCCTTCAGGGTGCATGCGCGAGGAGCGTCGCGCGCCAGGACCGTCCCGCCTACAGCAGAGACCACGCCCACTCTGTCTGGTTTCCCTCCCCACCCCCCGCCCACGACAGGGAGAACAAACCTCTTTGCCAATAGCTCTCTCCAGGCCCGAACACGCGCGCGCCCTCCTCAGGCCGTGCAGGGCACTGTAACAGTGAGGGCAAGGAGGTGGGTACCTGGGAAGACCGTGAGCATCACTTCACTTGGAAGTTTACCCACTCCATTCATTCACTCATTCATTCTTAAGTTAACGTTGAAGAGGGTCCCTGGTGCATTTCCTGGCCTAAGCGCCTGCCCTCATGGGCCCTCAACTCTAGGGAGGGGGTGGAAGGCATTCCAGAAATAGAAATGCAATGGGAAGGAGACTGTTGGAAAGCTTGGGTCTGTCCAGTACCAGGGCGGCCCTGGTCAGCTTCAGGGAAGCTGGACTGTGTGCAGCTGAATACCTTGGTGGGTACTTCACACCCTCTGCAGCTCCTTGGGTGTCCACAAGTCCTGTAGAGAAAAAGCCAGAGCAGTAGCTTCAACCTAAGGCGCCAGGCTGTTAGTGCCTGCATGGGGTATCTGGCCAGGTGCCTTGCAGGTGTCCCTTCCCTGACTCCTCAGTTATGCTGTCCAAGGAGGATGCTGGGATGGAAGTCACACAGCTGGTAAGGGACAGAGCAGGCCTTGAAATGTAGCCAGATTTTCCAGCTCAAGTTAAGAAAGCACTGTTAGACAGGCAGAGCTCAACGGACTGGACTTACAGCAATGACCTAAGCAGAACCCCTGTGAGGACACCAGCAACTCTTCATCCTGAGGATAGAGCAGCGTAGGCACTGCTCAAGAGAGACGGCTCTAAGAGGGTGGAATCATAGGCATTCGTTAGATGAAAGAAGGGGTGTATTGGACAAAGTAGGCATTAGAGCCCCAGGGGTCACTGGGTAAACTGTGGGACATTGGGAAACAAATCATTGAGGTAGGTATGAATTTTTCTTATTCATTTGTCAGAGCTCTCTACATATTAAAAGATCCTGTTCCTTTTGTGCATATTGCAAATGTCTGTCCTGGGGTTTTCTTTGTTTTGTTTTTTAAATCTTGTTCCTAGTGTTTTGACATGTAAATTATCAAAACTTGGTGATCAAATCATCAGTCTTTCTTGCCTGTTTAGTTGTATCTTCACCATCTGTAGTTTGAGCTCCACGAGGGCAGGGATTGGCTCTGGACATAGGATCTCCTAAATCCAGGCCAGATCAGCAACTTCTGGAACCCTTCCCAAGCACCCCGAACCATTGTTCGAGTAATAGCAAGTATGTGCATCTTACAGTGTGATTTTTTTTTAAGTTTCCTTTTCTTTCCCATGAAAATCCCTTCCTTTGGAACCAACTTTGAAGTGGGACATATAAAAGATGTTGCCGTGGGCGGCACAAACATCTTCCACATCCTGGTAAACTCCCAGCAGGGAAGCATGTACCCAGAGGGCTCACAGCCTGAGGATCTGAGGAACACTTAGCCCTGACCCATGCCTTGCTCCCAGGTCCTTCCATGAGAACCCACAACCAGCAACCCCCTTCCTGTTGTCCAGGCACAGTGCTTGGGGTGGGCCAGCACAGCTGTTTAAGGAGAGCTGGGAGAATCCAGCGCCTGCAGCCCACGCCTTCCCTGGGTCCCTGTCTGGATGCAGGAGCTGTTCAGGAGATAGAAGGTGAGGAAGGACAGCTCTGCCATCAGGTGTGACCTGGGTGCTGCTTTTCAGGTGGGGATGGTCCTCACAAATAGGCCCTTTGTCCTCAGTGTCCCCTGGCTGGGGGCTGCATTGTTCTCCCCAGAGAAGGGCACAATGGGGCATTGTACACAACAGAAAGGGCCCCTTGTCTGGCCTCCAGCTTGCTGGGCTCTGGGCTCCCTTTTTGGGTTTGCCCAGGGTGGGAGAGGCCATCAAAGAGGTCTGCTGGGAGCTCATGTTCTCGTGTTTCCTCCAGGGTCCTCCTTCCTGTGAGCTGACTTCAGAGGTCCAGTTCATCTGAGGGAGTGGACCCCACAGACAGGGCTCAGGCAGAGGACAGGCTGGCCAACAGCTCAGGTCTTGCCCATTCAGCCTGAATTTAATCAAAAGTGCACTGTGGTATTGCTCAGCCATAAAAAGATGTGAAGTATTGACACATGCTACAACTTACGGGGAGGGGGGAAATGGGACAAAAACACTATATTTATAAAAATTGTACATTTATTCTTACATATTTAAACTTCAGTCACCCTCAAAGTACTCTCCATTTTTTGCAATACACATATCGAGACTTTTTTTCCACTGCTCAAAACAGTTTTTGAACAGTTAGATTTTGATGCCTTTTAGTCCTTTTGCTGGTTTTGTTTCACTTCTTCCACTTCGGCAAAACGTTTCCTTTTGAAGACTTTTTTTCATGAAGGGAAATAAAACAAAATGAAAAGTCACTTGGGGCAACATTGAGTGAATAGGGAGAGTAAGGTATAAGGGTCATGCTGTTTTGAGTCAAAAACTAATGAACACTAAGCTCAGTGCAGGCAGGTGCACTTGTAAATTACCCATCATGAAATGGGCAAACACTTTCAGTCTTCAAAAAAAAATTCATTGAAGCAGAACGCAGCTTCTCACAACAATGCCAGCTGGTACAATGATACAGATGGCTTCTAGCACACTCATCTAGCAGGGTAAGCCTGTACTACAAGGGGTCCGCCCTCCAGAAGATAATTCTGGGTTTATTTTTGGGTCCCCCCATAGATGAACCACAAAACCATCATACTGAGTGAGAGAAGCCAGACGCACAAGGCTGCTCGTTGCCTGATTCCATTTATATGAAATGTCCAGAATAAGCAAATTCATGAAGACAAAGTAGATCCATGATTCCCAGGGGCCACGGGAGGGGGATGAGGATTGACCGCTAATGGGTACAGGATTCCTAGTGGGGAGATGAAAATGTTCTGGAACTAGATAGAGGTGATGATTGCACAATATTGGGAACATACTAAATACCACCTAACTGTATACTTAAAAATGCTTTCTTTTATGCTATGTGAATTTCACCTCAAAAAAAAAAAAAAACCCTTAAAAAATATATGCCCCAGTGCTGTTTCAGGATCATCGAGAAGGCACTGCTTTTACCGGTCAGAATAGGTCATATCATTCCTACCAAACTTACCTCTTCATCTATATTAGGGAGCACCAAACACCTCTCACCAGCACCAGGGGACTGAGGGGCGGGGCACTCCTGAGCCTCCATTTTCAAGCAAAATACTGTACGAAAAAAAAGTGAGGTGCTGAGATGAGGTCCAATTGCTTGGGGCTGGTTACAGGAGGACCTGGGGCCAAGCAAAGGAGGAGAGGGAACGAAATGGGGGCACCCCTGAGAGAAGCTGTCGGCTCAGGCTTGGGGCGAGTGCTGTGCAGATCCACAAACAAGCTGGAACCCTTAGGTAGGCTGCAGTCCCTGATGGGCCATCCGCAGCTCCTCCAGCTCAGCTCCGGAGGCAGGACACACACAAGCCCGCAGGCTGGCCGCACTCCCAGCAGCTGAGGGACGACTTCACAGAGGAATGAGCCCTGTGTCAGCACCTCGTCCAGCTGTCCCCAGGCACCCTGGCCTGGCAGTCCCTGCCGCATCAGGGCATTTGTCCCTGACGTGCATTTGCAGCTGTCTCTGGCACCCCTGAGAACCCAGCTTGGGCCTGAAATCTAATCGTGCACCCTTCATTTACCCTAATTTTTCATGTCTTGACATGTTGATGGGGAGGGCAGTACCCACTGGCATTAACATCTGTCACTTTCTTCTGGAGGGGTGATCAGTTTGGGCCCATCCCACCATGACTGTACAGCGGCCAAAGCTCCCTGGTAAGGCTGGCAGGTGCGGGTGAGGGTGGGCAAGCAGGTGCTGGGCCATTTGCTGGTTGTTCTGGAACTGTGACTCACTCACAGACGGCTGTTCTACTTGGCTCACCCAGCTCTCCTGCCAGCACCCTCGGCTCCAGCCCCTGAGCACTCCTGTGCCTGTACCCTAGAAGGAGATGTGGCCCTGTGTGGCCCAGTGAGCTGGTAAGCCATGACTGTTAGGCAGAATAGAAAGCAAAAAAAAAAAAAAAAGAAAAAAAAAGAAAAAAAAAATCCCAGGGCAGCCCCATTCTCTGGTTGTAGAGCTCTGCAGGGAAAAAGAATGTGTAGTTTAAAAAAAATTTTTTTCCCCTTAGAATCATATTCTGAACAGAAAGAAGTCTTGGGATCGTCTAGGCCAGTGGCCACTAACAGGAGGCTTGTGGGCTGAATCCCGCCCAGAGAGATGCATCAGGTATTGATCGCCACAATAATGCCATGTAACAGTCTCGAAAATCACAAATCCTTATGTCGGCCAGCAGTGCTACCCACCCCATCTGGGCTCAGGCATGCACCTGTGGTCAGCTGAGGCCTGCTGGCCCTGGCTGGCCGTTGGAATGACTAGGGCCTGTCTCCAGCCATCCACAGGCCCCGCCATTCCTCATAGCCTCACCCGCAGCAGCATCCACATCCCCTGCCTGTCTAACTCCTGGTGGCACTTAAGTTCAAGACCCCTCATTTAGCCCAAGCCTCTTACTTCATGGGGGGGGGGGGGAGCTGAGGGGGAGCTTGTGCCCAACGCCATCCATCACCAGGTCTTCCCTTCCTGTGACCCTCCCCCAGTGATTAAAGCACACAGTCCATTTCTGGAAAGAGTGGGAGGCCTTCCTGTTACATGTTCTCCTTGAAGGCATGCCCAGATGGGCCCATCCGCAGGAGATGATAATGAGTTCACAAGCACGGAAAATACAATAAACACCAGGTGTTGGCTACTGCAAGCCTGGCATTCTACATACATCAGCCCACACAGGCCCAGTGGTGCCCCTCAGGACAGGCACTCCAGACCCCTCTACTGCCCATAGTGACTCCTTAACTTGCCCAAAGTCAAAGGACCACAGAGGACTATGGAAGTTTCCTTGACCTTAAATGCCCTCC